AGAGAGAAGATAAAAACTGATTGAGAGAGGAAATCTCAAGAATATCAGTCTATATGCAAGAGAAGAGACAGATCAGGCAAAATAATAAGGAAACACTTCAGGTGGTCCTCACTACCTGTGCCTCCCTGTAGAGATAATACACTAGGAGAATATTATATGAGAAAGATTAGAATGATATGTACCAATTGTTCCATCACGCCGACCACTTTGGCTATTTTCTCCCATAAATCTATGCAGCATTGGCTTTATCTAACAATAGTTGATGCAAGCATGGCTTTTACTTATGTCTATCTTTAGTGTAATGTTGGTATAAGTTGAAAGGAAAGGGAGGTATCAGTACCAAACATTGGTGGTGATTCATCCTAGTCCAGTTAACTGTAAATACAGAGAGTTGGTGTTTGGGATAACTACCTTTAACTAGCTTGCATTTATCAATTAATTGCAGGTGTAAGTAGCTGGAGACTTACATCCAAGGAGGTGCAGGTGTGCTATATCGAAGGGGACTTTAGCCTGTATGAAGTGCTATACATTTGCCTTAGGGAGCCTAGAGCAAGTATTCTGCTTCTCCAGGGGTTCTCAACAGCTGAACAGAGATGTGAGTATTTTGTGAGCTTTATCTGTTTTATATCTGGGAATTGTCTTTGGAATGTCTAGAATATTTGTTGTTCTTGTGCCATCAAGTTGTTTCTAACTTATGAAGATCCTAAAGAGAACCTATCATGGGGTTTTCTCAACAAGCTTTTTGCCTTCCTTTGACTTGTACAAGGTCACCAAGTGGGTTCTCATGGCAGGGTCTTGAAATTTTTTTTTGGTTGAAATTCAAACCCTGGCCTCCAGAGTCATAGTCCAAAGCTCAAACCACTATGCCAAGTTGGCTTTCATATGTAGGATATAGGAACTGCTTTCATAACATCCAGATCTCTTGCCTGCTTTGTCAGTAATGTTGTTGAATTTTCCATCACTGTTGTGTTCATTGTCTCTGTGTCCAAAAGAATTATTGCTCCCTGCAGACATACAGGCTGCTGCCATAGTATAGAATGAATGCTGTTCGACAATGCTTTAACTGTTGTGGCTCCATCTCATAGATTCCTAGGATTTGTAGTTTGTTGTCTGAGAGAGAAGGCTAAATATCTCAAAAAAACTACAAAACACAAAATTCCCTAGCATTGAGCCATGGCACTTAAAGTGGTGTCAAACTGCTTTGTTTCTGCAGTGTGGACACAATCTGAGTGCATATTGCAGGCTGATGCTGACCACACGGATTGACAGAGGTCAAATACAGAGAGAAGACATTCTCATAGGCTATTAGCTGAAACAAGCCAAACTTTAAAAGAAGGAAACTATATCTTGAAAGGAAGGGAAAACTTTTGAGAAAGCTCAAATATTGAAATAATGGAAGATAAGAGGAGGCTGGAGGTACTAATTTTTGTAAGGGGAAAAAAATTACAATGCAGAAAGATTAAACAAAGATAACCAAGAAAGGGTAATGGATCAAACACCAAGACAAAATCTCATAAAAGGCATTCAGAGTGAAGAAAGGAAACATTAGGATGTATGGATGAAGTGGCAAGTGTCCTTTTAAAGTGTGTTTCAAGTTGAAGGAGGAAGATGTTCACTTCTTGGGTGGCACCTTTTATCTTCTCCTTCCATTATTGCATATCATCAAGAGAATTTCAGAAGGTAATCGTTCTATAATCGAAAAAGTTATTCCAGCAAAGTACTGTCATTCTTACCTTTTTTGAGTCCTTTCATGCAAACTTTAAAACAAAATTTAGAATATTCCAAAAAGGACTGTACATCAACAGGAGGTAAGGATGAAAGGGAATAGAGAGGGCATGCCTTTATTTTTTTAAAAAAAAAGATAGCCAGTATCCTAAATCCTAAAAATGACTGGCAATATCCTAAACTGTGGGTGCCAGTCACACTGTGTCCAGCTACAGGGAAATAGCTGGATGTATCACCACTGAGCCTCCGCTCACTAACAACGTGGTGGGTTTGGGAGACATAGCACTAGGAGATGTAGTGACAGAAATATAACTATGTGATATTTTCAGAGGGAGTTCTACCATGGCTAAACTGGAAGTGATTTTCATGAAGCAACAGGATAAGAATAAAGGTCACCCTGCTCCTGCATCCACCAATATTGTGGCGTAAACTCTAGGAAAACAATTCTAGATATCAAACCCTCACAAATAGAGATGCCAAATAGGTTTTTGTAGTTTTTTTTTTTTTTTGGGCTGTGAGGCTGTGTTCTAGAAGAATGTATTCCTGACATTTCACCTGCATCTGTGGCTGGCATCTTTTTGGGCATCAGCCTGAAAAACCCACAGAAGATGCCAGGCACAGATGCAGGCGAAACATCAGGAATACATTATTCTAGAACACAGACTCACAGCTCAAAAAACCCACAAAAACCTATGGATGCCGGCCATGAAAGCCTTCGACTTCACAGAGATGAGAAATGCTTCCACTTCCCTGCCAGTTAGACTTCCCTGAGCACAGGTTCATAAATGAATTTTAAGGGGTTCATAAAAGCCCACTTCAAATGAAAGGTAAACTTCCATTATTATTATTATTGTTATTATTATTATTATTTATAAAGTACTGTCAATATACACAGCACTGTACAAAGAGAAAATCAATATAAAATAGAATAAAAACCTGCCAGAGGCATACAATCTAATACAAACAATAGGTAAAATAATAAAAGTCAATTAAAACTAAAAACAATACAATAATTAATTAATTAACAGAGTTTCAGTACTGTATATTTTCAGTACAATATATTTCAGTGCTGTATTTTACAAGTTTGGAGCTGGCATGGTGTAGTGGTTTGAGTGTTGGGCTACAACTCTGGAGATGAGGGTTCAATTCCCCGTTTGAGCATTTAAAAATACCACCGGGTTTTTTGGGCACATTGCATCCCAAGTATTAAAGAAACATGTAGTTTGGCCCTTAGTGGCCAGATATCTGTGGTACTCCCTACCAAATGTAAAGTACAGGAATACCACAGTTAGGAAGGTAGATGGGTTCCTGGGTATGACTTCTTTAGCAAGCAAAAAAAATGGTACCAGAGGCAGAAATAATATGGAAAGAGAAGGGTAGATTGCTACACTACAAAAGAAGAAGAGCAGTTTCATATGTTTTGGCAAACATTTTATTCACAACTACCAATATGCACATGTAAAATGAAACAGCCGGGTCAGTTGAGCATTGTGTAAGTGAATTAAAACATGATGAATTTTCAAGAATCTGCTTGAAAGTGTCTTCCAAAATGCATCCAGGGATGATTTCTTTCTTTCTTTCTTTCTTTCTTTCTTTCTTTCTTTCTTTCTTTCTTTCTTTCTTTCTCCTATGATTTCCATTTTGGTGTCTAAATATATTGACCATTGCTTGCTTGAGATGAGATGGGTATCTGGTGAAGCAGGATATCTGATCCCCCCCCCAAAAAAATATTAAATTATGTGACTTCAACAAAGACTAAGTACCATATATACTTGACTATAAGTTGACTTCATGTATAAGTCAAGGGCAATTTTGGGGGCCAAATTATGGACTTTCATGTGATCCATGGATAAGCCAAGGATTAAATTTAGGGGCATATAGCAAAAAAATATTCTCTATGTTTTGCTGTTCACACATGCTTAGTAAGGGATTTTTCAGGCAACTGCTGTTTACCTTGTTGTAGGCAGGCACACATGGCTACAGTAGGACCAGGTAGAGCAGAACCCCATCTTCTCCAAGCTCAAGCTTTATTGCATTGTCTACTGCAAACACATTGCTGCAACCTGGAACTGAAAGTTTGTGCATTTCCAGCCTTCCTTTACCCTTCTCCCAATGCTAATGCTGCTAAAAATGCCCCAATTAGGTAGAGAAGAAAAAGTGGGAATGGGTGTCTGTAAAAGGACTTTGTAAAAACAAATGAGGGGGGCGAGCTCCTTTGTCTTTGTTAGGTAAGCTATGCCTTGTATAATATTTTGTAGTTGTTGTGTGCCTTCAAGTTGTTTCCGACTCAGGAAGAGCCTAAGGTGAACCTATCATGGGGTTTTCTTGGCAAGTTTCTTCTGAGGGGTTTTGCTATTGCCATCCTCTGAGGCTGAGAGAGTGTGACTTGCCTAAGGTATAATATTTAGCAGCTTTTAAATGAATGTTAAATGCCCTCATCTCACCCTGAACCCAACTTATCTCATTTTGAAAACTCAGCTGCCAGTCAGAGTTGATAACACTGGGCTAAATGGACCAGATTTAATGTCACCTTCCCACACTCTTTAAAACATATTTGTTTCACTCTGTTATTACCTCTAGACACCAAGCTGAGTTTCTATTGTTCACAATGATGCTCTCTCCGTTTTTAGTAATTCTAACTTGCTTGCTAAATTTGCTGGGCAGAGCTATAGAGTGTTAGCTTTTGTTCTATAATCTTAAAGGGTTTGGTTCTAACCGTGTATTGCATTTCAACTTTGTACAAGATCTGGGTTGGCAGGACTTTTGTCTTGAAATGTAGAACAGAAATACTGGTAATTGATGATGATGATTACTCTACACAGAGAATGGTCATGAGATCATTAAATTATGTGACTTCAACAAAGACTAAGTACCATATATACTTGACTATAAGTTGACTTCATGTATAAGTCAAGGGCAATTTTGGGGGCCAAATTATGGACTTTCATGTGATCCATGGATAAGCCAAGGATTAAATTTAGGGGCATATAGCAAAGGATCTAAAGGATGAAGCAAGTCAAAACAATGTCAACGAACTTACAAAATTCCAGCAGACATAACTCTTTGTGCTTACTCTTAAGACTACTTAGATGAGAGAGTAGAGGGAGTCAGTGCTTTCAGGAAAGATTATAATCTTGCTTTCCACCAGAGTATGGTTCCTTCTTTTAAATAAGAGTTAAGATATAGTACTTATTTTGACCCGTGGATGGGTCGACTCAGGTTTATTGGGTCAATTTTTTGACCTAAATTTCTAGACTTAGACAGGAGTATATACAGCAAGTAGCTCAGGTTATGGATGTTTCCTCCTTTTTCTGGTTACTGTTACTGTTAGAAATAGGAAGAAATTTATTCCACCAAAATTTTTCACCAGATTAGTCCACTCCTGGGCCTCTTAGACAAAAAATAGAACCAGATGGAATTCATGGACAGAAATCTATGTGTTCTGAGTCTTTATAGTATATTTAAAAGGCGGGGGATGTCCACATCTGAAAAATGAAAAAACTAAATAAATAAACCACTGTGCACATTTCTAAAATGTATTCAAATAGAGTTGATGAAGGGCATGTATCCATTAATTTATCCATTTGGATATGCACTTAAATGTATATGGATTTCTTTTCTTTTTTTTCCTTTACCTTTTATTGATTTATTAACACATAAAATAAAAATAACATGACAATCATATTTCTTCATTCATCAACAAACTAGACTAAATAAACAAGCACTAAGAGATTAATTTAGACAAAACAAATGCATAAAACCTAAAATTTCAACTTCCTACCCATCAGTTATTGGTTATCTTTGAAATACGTTTTCATTCTCTAATTTAGTACAATTGTATAGCGTGGCCCATATTCTGAAATACCTATGGATTTCTTTATGTAATGGAGAGAACAGACTTGAAGGTGAGAAAAGGAAGAAGTCCAGAAATGGACTTGACAGATCTGCCTGTTTCTACTTATTATGCTTAAGAGTTCCACAAAAGGCAAAGATCATCCGATGTGGCTTTTCCTGAATGTAGAGTTGTACAGATCTTCTCTTTTTTGAATTTCTGCTCCACTACTTATGCTATTCCAAGGCAAAGGATCCCTGAAAGAAAAAGATAGAAAACCTGGAGGGGTTTACTGCAAGTGACAAGGTAGCATCGACATTTTACATCAAGGACTCAGATCATAGGAAAGGAATCCCTGACTTCTGCCTAACTTTGAAATCATTTTTAATTTCTCCCACACAACCGTCTCATGAGGATGGCCATTATTGTTCCAATTTTATAGTTAAGATATAGAGAAAGTGGGTCTTGTCTGTGAATGCTAAAAATCACAAAGTTAGTGAAGGGGGGGGAGACGGTTTGAAGCTCCAAGTTATAACAACTACCTGTTTTTATTTGCTTTCAAGTAAATCCTTGACTGTTGGTTTTAAAACTGTGTTTCAGTTTTTATGTGCCCCCATGTATGTTAGTGTCTTTGACATTACAGTCTTGGACAGATTTTGCTTCTATTAGGTCTGTCTTCCCCCACAAGGCACCACTGTACACAGCCATATAAAATGAACTGCAAAGCAGTTTTAAGGGAACTTAAACCCGCAAGCAACAACAGGAAAAAAAATCTGAATGTTCAAGTTTCAAAGTGTCTCACAGCCAGGAGCAAACACCTTGCCATTGACAAAGCCTGGGAGGACACAAAAAGAAGAACTGTGGAGGGAGAGGAGGCAAAGAGCTCATAATTGGGTCTGGCTGCTTCTGCAAGACAGTGTATGTGCGTCCCTACTTCCAGCATGAGCGCCATGGGAAACCCCTGCCACAAAGCCAGATCTGTGGACTTGAGCACCACAAATGTCTATGGCTCTTTTCTGCTCAATGGCATACTGTGAGATTAAGATTATTATTTGACTTTATTTCCCCCACCCTCCAAAAAAAATGACCAGAGAGAGAGAGAGGGAATGTTTTTTTTTTCTCTTTAAACAAAATCCTGGGAAAGAGTGACGGTAAACCATCGTACAGTGTATGTGTTGCTGTTGCATGGAAGAGTAGTTCATTTTTTGAAAAGGATCAAATGCCCTGCCTTGTAACAGACGTCTAAACAAATACAAGCATGATTATAAATCACATTCATGTAAGAAGTGTATCACTGTCTTATAAAAAGAAAACAGCAATCATGCCCACCCTAAAGATGCAAGACCTTGGAGCAGGCATGGGAAAAGATTTTGTTAGATTTGATGGTCTTGATAGAAGTTGACTTTTTGTGCCACCTGCTTTGCTTTGAGAAAAGGAATGCACCTCATCCTGAGAATTTGCACATTTCTGAATTTGACTCATGGCGATTTAGAGAAAGAAAGTGTGCACAAAATCCATCTGCATGCTTTAAAATGCAAACTACAAAAAAGAGTATGATGGGAGGGAGGAATCACAACACAATATAGTTAAGGGGGCTGCATTAGGTAAACTGCATAAACAAATACACAGTTTAGGAGACATGAATAAAAATGCATATAAATTCAAATGCAGGGGTGAGTTGGAAAATCCAAAGCCTTGCAACCCAGTTGCAAAGGAGGAGGGGAAGAAAATGCAGGTGGGATTCAAAGCAGCACACACTTCACACTAAGAGATTTTGACATCTTTGCTATGAAGTAGGGAGTGGGATCACACCCTCAGTTCCTGCTCTGAGCATTAATCTTGGGAATGCAACAATGCTCATCATGTTGTTGTTGTTACTATTACTCTTATAATTTGGGATTCAAGGCAGCTTACAAGAGATTAAAATACATAAAATTTTACAAAATAGTTAAAAAGTTATTCAGCTATCCACCCAGTGGATTTCCCTGGCCCAACAAGGATTTGATGCTTGGTCTCCTAGAATCCTAGTCCAACACTCAAACTACTAATGGAAATCCATCAGGGAATCCATGCCAACAATGCATAGAGTCAGGCCTTAAAGTGGGATGGATTGGAACCTAAAAGGAATGGAGCCCTCCATGGGTTCATCCACTGATGCCTTCATACATCCATTCCACTCTGTCATGCTTCCTCCTTTCTCTCTCCTAATTTTTCTTCTTCTCTGTTCTCCATTCCTTCCCTCCTTGGTCCCACCTCTATGCAGCAGTTACCATAGGAATTTGCTTTCCCCCCCCCCAGAGATCTCCTTGACTTATGGTGACCCCACAAA